GGAGGGAGGAGAGAGAGAGGAGGGAGGAGGGCTGCTGCTGCAGACTGTCAAACTTCGTCACCTTGGTCTTTCCTCCCGTCTCTGTACGCATTGATGTCAGGTTGCAAACACCACAATGAGGGGCAGGGGGGGAAATAATAAGAAGGCAGCCGATGAGGGGAAGGAAATGGGGAGGAGGAGAAGGAGGAGGAAGACGAGGTCAAGGGGGAGGACGAAGAGGAACAAAAGGAAGAAGAGGAGGAGAAAGAAGACAAGGAGGAGGAGGAACAGCAGCTAGGTCCTCACTCTTTGGAGCCGAAGTCGACACTCCTGCAGGGGCAGGGGAGCTCGGAGCAGGGGAGGGCTCGCGCGAGACCGGGGCACCGGGGAGACGATCAGCCCCGAGGAGACGGAGGTTGACCTGGAGACGTCAGGACAGGAGGAGGAGTCGGAACGAGGAGGAGGCGGGACGAGGAGGAGGCGGAAAGAGGAGAAGGAGGAGGAGGCGGGACGAGGAGGAGGCGGAAAGAGGAGAAGGAGGAGGAGGAGGCGGAAAGAGGAGAAGGAGGAGGAGGAGCTGGAGGAAGAGGATTGTACCTGAGAGCTGCGCTTGCTTGTCATCTGCCCTATGACGTAGAGGGCCTGCTCCAGGTCCTGTGCTGGTGGATGAGAAGAAATGGCAGGCAGGTGCGCCTGACCTCAGGGACGCCGTTGCAAACTCCCGAGACGATGACTCCCGTGTACCCCGAGCTGTGGAGCTGCTTTGTCTGCGGGCGAGTGAGGGCAGAGGAGGAGCGGAGGGACGAGGGAGCGAACAAGGATCGGGCAGAAGGAGCAGGAGGAGGAAGAGGATGATGATGAAGGAGAGCAGAAGCAGGAGCAGGATCAGGAGCAGCACGGGGCGAACCAGCTCGAAGCAATCTTCTTCTGTCTCTCTCCTATAATTGACTCGAGCAATCCTGACTTGACTCTCGGGAAGACTCTTCAAGATCTGACGAACAGGTTTGAGATGTAGAGGAAGAGGGAAAAGAGAAAAAATGAGGAGAAGCATGAAGAGGGAGGAGGGAGGAGGGAGGAGGGAGGAGGGAGGGAGAGGGAAACAAGACAAGAGGAACAGGGGAAGGGACAAGGACAATAGCACGAGCACGAGAAGGTAGGAGGATGTCACCTGCTGAGCAGACTCGGCGTCATATGCCTCAGCAATCACCACCTCGCAGTTGCATGCCGCCTGCTCTGTGAGGATGAGCCAAGGAAAATTTGCCGTCCTTCACGCACCGCGATCTTTGCATCGTCCTCTTGCGAAACGATGGCTACGGCTTCCATATCAAGAACCTGAGCGTACCGCGACAGTTTCTGCGCTCACGAAAGTCTCATCAAAGGACGTCCTCCTCCGCCTCCGCCTCCGCCTCCGCCTGCTCCTCCTCCCACCTCCCACCACCACCACCACCACCACCACCACCTCCTCCTCCTCCTCCTCCTCCTCCTCCAAATGTCAAGTCACACACCCCCGCTTCCTCCTCTGACAGATCGCCAGCAGCGAACGCCACGGCTCCAGCACCGGCTGCCTTGGCTTCTGCAATCTCCTTGAGGGAGGACACCCCCCCTCGGATCACACAGACTGACGGGGACGAGGAACGAGTTCAAGTCAGCATCCTGCCACACGCTGCCAGCAGCTCACCAGGGCCTGGAAACTCTCCCGCAGCAGTCTGCTGCTCTTTGCCGAATGCTTCCAGGCACTCCAAGTCTCTTCCCTCCGGCTGCAGGTCGATCCAGATGGCACAGCACTGACCATCTCTTAGGCCCTGCAGACATCACGATCAGCGGGAGAGGGGGAGGAAGAGGGGGATGAGCGAAAGATTGGGGGCAGAAGGAGGGGGAGGAAGAGAAAGGGTGAAAGAGGTGGAGGAAGGGAGGAGGGGAGGGGGGGAATGGGGAGGGGGAGGGGACCAGGAGGAGAGGTGGAAGAGGGGGAGGGATGGAGGAGGACGAGGGGGAGGGGTGGAAGAGGGGAAGGGGTGGAAGAGAAGAGGAGGGGTAAAAGGGTTGAGGCGAAAGTGGGATGGGGATGACAGAGGAGACAGGGAGTCTTGCCTGGGAGATGCCTGCTTTGCCAGTGATCTGGAAGGGATCTTGTGGATCGGAAGATTTCACCGGCGTGTCTGCAGCAACATTTGATGAAGACGCAAAGTCAAATCAAGGTTTTACTTCCAGGTGAAGTCCGTGACTCGCATCAGACATCAAAGAGACAAGGGAACAACAAGACCTCCACACCAGTGCAGCATTCCATCCCGATTGCCAGAGCCTTGGAGCGCTTGTTCATCGCGGTTGCTAGTGGGGTCCTCTTCTTCGGTTTCACTTTGCCGTTCTCAGCCTGGGGAGGAACTCATTACTCTGATGAACCTACAGCAGCATGCAGCTGCTGCTGTGCAACATGAATGGCATGAGATTGACCTTGTCCATGAATTTCTCAACCTCCTGCGGGTCGATCGCCATGCGCAGCCCAAGACTCGTCCCTGCCTGGCGAAGGCTCATGCTCTTGGGGAGGGAGAGCGAAGGACCTGATGGATTGAGAATAAGCGCTGTCACGAGCATGCTGGCGGGTACCTTGTAAGAAGGCACTAGAGGACCATGGCAGGACGAGGAAAGTGAGATAGATAGCAAGGCGAGGGAGAAGTCCCGGTGAAGTTCGTCTCTCACGAGGCATCGGATCCTGTGAAATTTCTTTAGCTGAGCTGTGTTGATTGATCCCCAGTCTTCGTTGGGATGAAAAGATCAGGAGCATGAGGAGCGGCTGGGGTGAAATGAAGCAAATCATGTACAGAAAAAAACATAATGTTCCAAACATCCAAATCATCTGCACCTCATCGCATGTAATCGTGTGAGCATTTACCAAGGACTCGGCTTCCAAAACGAAGCACCTTGCCATTCCTCGCCATATACACACAAAGGCTCGCAATCCTTCACTGACTCTTGTGTGAGGAGCTGATATGTATCAACATTGCCTCCTCGATTTCCCATCTTCCTCCTCTCTCTCCCCCTCCCCTCCTCCTCCTTGGTCTCCTTTCCTCTTCTTTTCCTCTGCAGGCCATACGGCCTCCACTTTGTTGACCCTCGTCCCCACCATGTCCCGGGCCCGGCCTACCGCAATGTTACTGAATTTCAAAGGCCCGGCGCTCCGGGCCCGGCGGCCATTTGAAAAGGCCAAAAATAATAACCGACGTATTCGAAATATTTCATTTGATAATTCAAAAATTCAAAAGTCCTCATGGAATTTGGACAATTCAGCGCAGAGTTATGCGTGGGTCAGAGAAAAAGTTTCCCCATCGGTTGGAGGAACATTTGTAAGTGGGGGTGGGTCAGTAGCCGATGACTACGGGTATTTTAATAAGTAAATACACGGGTAGTCAATGGTCAGAAACCTGGGGGGGTTGAAGATCAGTGGTTTGCCTGCAGGGTTTTCCGGGGTTTGCGCGCCAAAAGATGTCGAGGAGGATCGTTGAGGCAGAGGGGAATGGAGGAGGGAGAGAAGAAGAAAGGAAGAGCTATGGAGAGATAACTGTGAGGAGATGGTTTGTGATCTAATAGATTACTGAGAAGTCAAATCAGAAAAGCTACGATGATGTACAAGATAATGTCGCGCAATGGGAGAAGTGGACAACGGGGTAGCAGACAAATGCCATCCAAAGCTCTTGTATGTGGTTGCAACCCACCAGATCAAATAGAATATGATCTTATCAAACCCAAATGAGATGATAATATCCAAAAGGCATCAGATGGAGGCAGCAATCTAACCGTGACTGTTGCTGTAGGGGACGGAAGAGGGAGGGGAGGTGTAGTGTATGGTGAGATGAATGAATGTACCTCGATGAAGGATAGTGGGGCACTGCAATGGTGCTCATAGTCTTGTTCTACAGGTCATCTTCAACAAGTCCCTTGTTATCATGTCATTCCCCTGGTGCGATGATCAAGCAGAAAAGTGAGAATTGCTAATTTCTTTGTGTCCAAACGTTCTCCTTATCCCACTCCTCTAGGCAGGCGGTAGTTCGCCGACCCCAGTCAAAATCAGGGGCAGGTGGCTGCCCATGGGCTCAGGTGCAATTTCTTGGTCCTAGACAGCTGGCTGTATTGACTTGAATTTCAGGATGACGATGCGGATGAGTTCAAACGAGGACCACCGAGTAACAGAGGAAAGCGCACGGGCATTCCGAATCAATCTCCGCAGTATGAGGCTGCTGGAAAGCCGCTGTCCATGAAGCCTTCTGGTGGACAAGGACCCCCATGGGCGGCCACCGATGCTGACTCTTGGGCCCCCCCATCAAACGCTTATGGTGCTGGTGTTTTGATGCCGCCGAAGGGCGCCGAACTCCACGTTCCATATGATCATGCGCCATACTATGCGCAGCCTCTGCCAGATGAGGTAGACTACCCGGAGATCGACTACCATGAGCCAGCTCCAAGACCGATGGATGCTTACAAGTACCGAGGAGCTGCCCCCTGGGCACAGGTCTGAAATTCAATCTTGATGATAGCGCGACGGTTGGGAATCTTATTGCCTTCTCTCGCAGGACGAGGAGGAGCCCATGGTCTCTGTGTCCAAATCTTCCTTCGCTGCCCCCAAGTCTGTGAATCAGCCTTCTCAGATTCACCAGTCCTCCAACCACATAGACAACGCGACTGCTCAGCGAGTTACTGCCGAAACGAGACTTGCTGCAAAAGCCATCCGAGCTAGGATGCAGGTACTTGCTTGTGTGCCTTGTGTGGAAAATAGTTCTGATTCTGTTGGCAGGGCGCAGGCAACGTTCTTACTTGGGCCCAGTAAGAACAGGAGTTTGAATTTTGCATTTCACGCCGATGTCGTGTTTTGACCTCTGTACATCTACTCCTTGACACATCGATTTGCTGTAATTGTAGAGTTGCCACTATAGAACTCCAGGATCACTTGTAGTTTTATTTTATCAATTCGAAATGATTAAATTGACTGACGCTTTAAGATGACATCCTCCACTTCATGTGCGCCACGATGTGACAACACTAGCTTTCACCTTGATGCCAACTTCTACTGCAGCCTCCATCTCTCCCATCGTCGACGATGATCACTATTGCGGACAACAACATAATCAAATGACCTGAATCTGTGAGGGCAACTTGAAAGCGTCAGCCAAAGATCCTTTCCAAGCTTCGATTCCTTTCCCTTTCAATCTGTAGTTCACTCTTCGCATGCTCGAGTCTGCGATGCAAGTCTGCTCTTCCAAGTTCAGAGCGAGCAATCTTTGCTTGCAGAGCCTCTATCGATTCTTGAGCGATTCTCAGCTGTTCGCACTTCTCCGCTATCAGGTCCATCTCTTTCAGCGACCATAGCCCGGGGCTGGGGTCCTTGAAGGAATCATCGCAGTCGCTATGAGACAACTCGCTCAAAGAGTCTGGATCTACCATGCTCAAAGACTTGTTAGCCGTGCCTGCCGACGACCTGGTTGCCGTCATGTGTCCTGATGCCCTGCTCGAGCTGTCTGTGCTCAATTCCTCCTGGATCTGTGCAATCAACCCCAAGACTTCTCGTTCACGATTCTCGTCTGCTCGTTCCTTTGAGAGAAGGATCGGTGACATCGTGACTCCTTGGAGAGTTTGTTTCCTGCTCTCAAGAGCTTTCCTGCTCAGAGATTTCTGAGCAGTAGGATGGAGCTGAGAGTGATCAACATGCAAGTCTTCTAAGGTTTGTTCGATCTTCGTTACTTGTGATACATCGATCCCATGAATGTGTCTTGACGTGATGTACGTCATTCGAAGGGTTGATTCATCATTCTTCTTTGCATCGATGCTTCTGTCACCAAAGTTCGATTCTGACAAGATAATATCATACTGTGATTGATCCAGAGCATTTAGAAATCCAACGTATTTCTTCAAAGTGTCGCGGAGGATTTTGACTTCATCTTCCACGACGTAGAGATTTTCGCTCATCTCTGTCAAATATGCCTCTAGTTCCTTGTTTCTCTCTTTCAGCCTCAGATTTTCTGTCTTCACATCATCGTGAGAATGTTCAGGCGAATTTGAATGAAAATTTTCGTCGAGGTCCATCTTCCTGCCTTTTTGAGATGGAAACAACCTATCTTGATATGTTCTGCTCTCAAAATGTAGCTCCAACCATCGAGTGAAGCAAGACTGCATCAGCTCCACCCGCTCGACTCTTGGCAGCATCGACCATCGTCGCATGCACCTTTTCTTGATGGAAACAGCTTCGCATGCCGAAGACTCCTCGGCGATCCTTGATCGCAGGGGCTCAGCCATTCCCCTCATCTGCAGAAGATCTAGGAGGAGATCCTAACTTTCTCCCTCCCTCTCTCGCGTCTGCTCAGCTTCTGCCGCCATCGCCATCGCCCGCGTGCCGCTCCCGCCCCTCCATGTTCACCGCCACCGGTAGTCTCAATTGAATCTTCACTCAACTTTTTGTTGTACGGAATTATCCGGATGCTACAGTGTGGTAGAAGCCGCACATGTCGGCAGACCAGAGGATCAACGGCCAAACTTCTGGCCAAACTTGATCGCCCGGTGATCATCGGATGAGCGGATCGCCCGATCGTCACAAGCACAAGAGCAGACGAAACTTGTCAATATCAGTGAGGCTATTAGACTAGGTTCAAGTAGCTATGTATTTCAATACCGCACGTAATGATATTCTAATATTCACCAGGCTATTCCTTCATGTTTACAACCAGACGGGAGAAACGTTTCAATCTGGTCAACCCTCGTTCGAAGGCTTCACATTCTCTGGCGATAAGGACCGGACGCACCAGAGAGGCTTACCGCTTCCCCTTGTGAAACACCTGCAGGATCATCCCGAAGAATACTTTCTCCTCGTAGGAAGACCGTACAGTTCAGGCTGGCGACCCACGGTCCATCGCGGTAGAAGTATCTGATCGAGTGTGCTCACGTCTGCACATCCGACTCATGTCACTGAAGTTGTGATGCATCGGAGGAGCAGGAGGAGGAGGAGGCGAAGGAAGAGGAAGAGGAGGAGGAAGAGGAGGAGGAAGGGGGAGAGGAAGAGGGGGAGGGGTAGGGGGGAGAGGGAGAGGGAGAGGAGGAGGGGGAGGAGGAGGAGGAGGTCACTTCAACTTGCGACAAGTAATCTCCTGTCTCGAGCAATACCGTGATTGTTCCATTCATCCGGGAAGTCAGCAATTGAGGGAGGACGTGGATAGAGCGTCGATCCCATTCATTATCAGACTGCAACTGAGCAGAGCTTCTTGCTCCTCTGCCTCTGCCCCTGTCTCGTCCTCGTCCTCGTCCTCGTCCTCGTCCTCATCGTCATCGTCATCGTCATCGTCTTCGTCTTCTTCTGAAGCCTCGACTGCCCTGCGCTCCTGCCTTCAAAGATCCATCCCTTCTCCGGTCCAAAGCAAGGCAAAGGTAACCTGCTGTCCTGCCTCCAGCTCTCTCCGAGGACGCGCGCTGGCAAAGGGCATATCCAGCTCGATGCCAACGATACTGATCACTCGGTAGACGTCGACGAGGCAAGGGAAGGTCCTGTCCATGCTGGTAGTCGAACTGATGCTGGATCGGGAGCAGCCATGGCTAGCAGAGGAAGAATCCATGAGTAGATACTCCTACGCACCTTCCGTGGAGGGAGAGCCGTCGAGGTCTCAGCCAGGGCTCAGGACACTGGCCGGCAGGAGAGATCTCCATCACTGTGGTACCCCTCCGTCAAGACAGAGTTCAGCAGAAATTTAAACATCAACATTTGATCTCTTGACTTTCTTGTGCCAAATCCTCTCTATTGCGGAAGATGCTTTTTGAGACGGGATCCACAACACAACACAAAGTCCAGTCGCTCATTGTTTTGCCTGCCTGATGATATTCATCTCTCTAGGGCTGCAAACTCTCCAAGGATCTGATCCAAACAGATGGCTCCTGGAATCTGTCTGCATATCAACAACAAAACCATCTCCACTCCGCTTCACCTCGTCTTTAATTGGATTTAGCTGAAGTTTGTTTTCCTCTACCTCTTGTGAACTTGCCACAACTCCAATCAAAGGAGCTTTGTCCCGTGTTTGCTCTTGTAACCCGGAGTCCGGCAATGAAGCCATTCTTCTTCTGGCTTGACTCCTGTTTCTGTTGTACTTGCTGCTGCAAACTGCTTTCCATCTGATTCTGTAATCGCCACGGTTACCCATGCTGTTGTAACAACAGGACATGCAAGAGTGCTTGCCTCAATTCGTAGTTGTAAGCCTGAGACCTGTTGATATTGTAATAGGGGTCGACTTCCTCATCTTCATGCTGAGCTGTATCTGTCTCATTCCATTCAAACATGCAAGAACCTGCTTCGGATTCGATCTCATTTGCTCTTGCATCTTTTCCATATTTATCCGTGATGCTGTTGTTGCTCCTCCAAGTTAGGGTCAAGAGAGATTCTTGCGATGTCTTCGCCTTTGTCTTTTCACTCTTGAAAGATTCAGGAGCTGATCTGAAGTCTTGGATGGATCTCTCAGAGGAAGTTTGTTACCATGTATGTGAACGCGTGTACCAAACCTTTCATCTGCCAAGACTGAGTGAATCTGCCTTGGGATCGAAGACATTTCATGGTCTTCCCAACATGACTTGTGGCTCCCCATGCTCGCATCACTGAAATCATGGCTCGCAGACAGCAAGAGCGTTGTCTGCAGAAGTGAGTTGCAAAGTCGATGTGATAACAGAACAGTGATGCTCCTGCGACAAGAGCACAAGAGACTTGGAGGGCAAAAGAGACTTGGAGGAATCGGCTATGTTCTGATCTTTTACAGTTTATTGCACAAAACCATCGCAACACAACAGCAAACAAAGATGGAGATGTCATAAACACAAACACAACTCTACACATCTCTTCCAGCCCCGCCCCCCCCCCGGCCCCCCCGGTTTCCACCCTCAGCGGACGCTCTCTTTCCTCGACAGCTGGGACCCACCCGAAGGCTTCATGGCTTACCGCTTCCCCTTGTGAAACACCTGCAGGATCATCCCGAAGATCAGCTGCAGCCCCAGCGCGTACCCCGCGAGGATGCTCAGGTCCTTGTACACCGGCTTGTCGCTCATGTCGTAGAAGTCCAAGACCGCCTTCCCGTCACTGTACTGCAGGCTGTTGAAATGCTTGATGGGCTCGAACTCGTTCACCATGAACACCCGGAACGAGTAGGTGTGGAACGCGATGTAGTAGCCCCAGATGAAGTAGTCCGGGATGTCGGACTTGATCTTCATGAAGCCCTCGCACAGCATGAAGAAGCCGTACACCGCCGCCCCCAGCGCGATGCCGATGATGTAGTGCGGCACCACCGACGCCACCACGCACATGAAGGCCTCGGCGGCGACGAGGGAGAGGAAGAGGTCGGCCAGGAAGATGCCGAAGCCGTTGAGGCCCGACGGGAGCACGACCAGGGCCGTGCTGATGAGCGAGATGATGAAGAGCCCCGGCAGCGACATGAGGAACGTCGCCAGCACGTAGGAGGGGACCATGTACCAGCCGTTGGCTCGCTCTCGCAGAAACACCGCTCGCTCCAGGATGAAGAAGGGCAGCACGGCAACCGACATGAAGACCAGGAACGCAGCCACGTAGAAGAGCATGGTGATGCGGCTGTTGATGTCCGAGGCCTCGATGCCCAGCTTCCAGAACATGAACCCGATCATCGCGCACAGCATGACGTACATGATGAGGCGGACGAGGAAGATGCCGGGGTTGCGAGCGTTGTTGAAGAAGGCGCGATGAGACAAGGTGAGCAGCTGCGACCAGAAGCCGTTGGCCGTGCCTGCCACCAGCACCTCGTGCTCGATCGGCTGGCCGATGGCGGCGATGAGCGACATGCCCTCGGGCTGGCTGGTGAAGGCGGAGGCGAGCGCGCGGACGTCGGCATGGCCTTCGAAGTCGGTGTTGGCGAGGCGGAGGAAGAAGTCAGCGGGGTTGGAGAGGGAGGGACAAGGGTGCCCCAGCCTGCCGAAGTACTCCACCGAGTCTCTGGCGGATCCGAAGTAGAGGCACTTGCCCTCGGACAGGAGGCAGAACTTGTCGAAGCTCGCCCAGACCTCCGAGGGCGGCTGGTGGATGGTGCAGACGACGGTGGTGCCGAGCTTGGCGAGGTAGGAGAGGTGCTTCATGATGTTCTCTGCAGCCGCCGAGTCGAGGCCTGACGTGGGCTCGTCGAGGAGGAGGATGGAGGGGCTCCGCACGAGCTCGACCGCGATGGAGAGGCGGCGGAGCTGACCGCCGCTGAGGCCCTTCCTGAAGACATCGCCGACGATGGTGTTGCTGCACGAGTCGAGGCCGAGGACGTGGATGACGCTGTCGGCGTAAGCCCGGCGCTCGTGCTGGGAGCACTGGGAGTGAGGGATGAGGAGGTCGGCGGCGTAGTACATGGTCTCGCGGACGGTGAAGGGGGTCTGGAGGGCGTACTCCTGCTGGACGTAGGAGGCGATGGAGCTGAAGGCCTGGTTGCGACGATCTCCGTTGACCAAGACTTCGCCCTTGAGCGTGCGGCCCTTCTTGGAGCCGTCGATCCTGCCGGCGATGGCGTCGAGGAGGGTGGTCTTGCCTCCGCCGGAGGGGCCGCAGATGGCGAGCATCTCGCCGGGCCGGACGATGCCGGAGATGTTGTCGAGGATGCGCTTGGTGACGAGCTCGGACTTGTTGGAGGAAGGGCTGGTGCGGCGGACGCGGACGTCGTAGGTGATGCCGGTCCATGCGATGGTGGCAGGGCGGACCTTGAGGGAGAGCTTTCCGGAGGAGGAGGAGGGGGAGGACTCTGCTTCACTGAAAGAGGGAATCGGTCAACATCGAAGTAGATCCATGGAACGTCATGAGAAGAGGGAAAGAGCTTACGTTGGGCTCGACCACGTGTCTTGTGAAGTTATTGCAGCAGGGGGCACCTGAACATTGCTGTCCGTGCCAAAGACGAGATCCGCGGGCTCCATGGGAACAACGTACTGCGTTCTTTGCATATTTTTTCAAGATGTCTGGTGCCGTTGTCAGTTTGTTGTGTATGTGCTGGCTTCACCAACAGATGAATGGTCGAGATGTGAGGGGAGCGGAGGAGGACGTGAAGAAAGAGAGATGTAGAGGACTGAGCGTAAGGAAGCAGGTCTTCCGACTCCTCTTATATAGTGGCAAGCCTTCTCATTTCCGTACCCGTCGCTTGACTTGCTCGCATTTCAGCAGGGGTAGGGTGACTACCCAACCAAGGAGTTCCAGGTGAACAGTAGGGGTCCGCAGAGCCACACGTATCATTGAGGTAGGGGAGGGTGGCAGGGGTCCAACGAATAACTGTCTGAGACCCAAAAGTTGACTTTTTTTTTAGTGCCGGGACCCCTCCCCCGCAGTCACTTACTGGCAACGTCCGCTCCTGTCAAGTGACTCGACTTTGATGAGTAAATCTTGCCGGTACAGAAGAGCTGGGCGGAGAACCCGGGAGATCTCGCGACCATCCACCCCTTTGAGTGCCGCAGTGTCCCTGAGGGGGGGGAAGGGGGGGGTGGTTGTGGGGGGATCGGTGGGTACTTCAGATTGAGGGTCTGCTGCCGTTTGACTGGTGCCGTACTCGATGCCACGGCAAAGTGAAACGACCCCGGACCCCCGGAATGACTACCCACCGTCACCATATCAACAACCCTGTCCACAAGGCTCAGATGTACCCCTTCCATAGTGTTTTCGACCTGTACTTACCCCCCCCCTCCCCTCACCCCCGATTCACCCCTTACGCCTATGATTCAAGTCAGCTACTGTCACAGACCGCATCGGTAACCCCTACCCCCCACGTACACCCCCACCACCCCCTCTTACTGCCAACTTTTGCACCTCGAGATGGCATCGAGCACGCCAAGTTTACCCAAGGACCCCCTGGGGTCAGACCACCCTGTCATTTTCTTAGCCCTACCCCTACATACTACCTAGAATCACCCCCATACTATCACCACGTAACAGACCCCCCCCACCCCCAGTGAGGAATTACTGTGGAGCTAACTTACAACCATGAAAGTCACCTATAGATAATGTGCCTACAGCAACCCCCACCCCCTGGGAGGAAATTATACATATCCCTTCACCGGTACATTTACCTAGAATGGGACCGGTGTTGTACAGGTTTTGTGGGACCCCTACCCTTTTACCTGTAAAGGGCGAGATGAGTCCGGTCAATAAATCCCCTACCGCCTCCTCTTGTTTATCGACGTCCCTTCCCTTCCCCTCCCTTCCCCTCCCCTCCCCTCCCCTCCCCTCCCTTCCCTTCCCTTCCTTTCCTTTCCCTTCCCTTCCCTTTCCTTCCCCCTCCTTCTCAACGATACTCTTCCACACTCCCTCCTCCTGCCCCAACAGCGTTGCCCTAAAAGAAGCGACCAAGATCGAGCAGCAGCAATAGCACCTGCTACCTGAACGCTGGACCCAACTCTCAGGATGTCTGGAGAGCAAGACAAACAATATGTCATTCCCATGCAGCCCGCGGATCTCGTCTATGAAACGGACAGCAATGTTCAGGTGCCCCCTGCAGGAATGATTTCACAAGACACGTGGTCGAGCCCAACGTAAGCTTCTTAACCATCTCCTTCTCAACGCTACTCCCACATATCATATGACAACCCTTCTGAGATTCCCCATGCCTGATCCCCCTATATACCTTCCTGATTTCCTGAATTTTCTTTGAAGTATTCGACCTGACGCTTACGTTGGTATAGTAGGACGGACTCCTTCCCCTCCTCCTCCTCCGGAAAGCTCTCCCTCAAGGTCCGCCCTGCCACCATCGCATGGACCGGCATCACCTACGACGTCCGCGTCCGCCGCACCAGCCCCTCCTCCAACAAGTCCGAGCTCGTCACCAAGCGCATCCTCGATAACATCTCCGGCATCGTCCGGCCCGGCGAGATGCTCGCCATCTGCGGCCCCTCCGGCGGAGGCAAGACCACCCTCCTCGACGCCATCGCCGGCAGGATCGACGGCTCCAAGAAGGGCCGCACGCTCAAGGGCGAAGTCTTGGTCAACGGAGATCGTCGCAACCAGGCCTTCAGCTCCATCGCCTCCTACGTCCAGCAGGAGTACGCCCTCCAGACCCCCTTCACCGTCCGCGAGACCATGTACTACGCCGCCGACCTCCTCATCCCTCACTCCCAGTGCTCCCAGCACGAGCGCCGGGCTTACGCCGACAGCGTCATCCACGTCCTCGGCCTCGACTCGTGCAGCAACACCATCGTCGGCGATGTCTTCAGGAAGGGCCTCAGCGGCGGTCAGCTCCGCCGCCTCTCCATCGCGGTCGAGCTCGTGCGGAGCCCCTCCATCCTCCTCCTCGACGAGCCCACGTCAGGCCTCGACTCGGCGGCTGCAGAGAACATCATGAAGCACCTCTCCTACCTCGCCAAGCTCGGCACCACCGTCGTCTGCACCATCCACCAGCCGCCCTCGGAGGTCTGGGCGAGCTTCGACAAGTTCTGCCTCCTGTCCGAGGGCAAGTGCCTCTACTTCGGATCCGCCAGAGACTCGGTGGAGTACTTCGGCAGGCTGGGGCACCCTTGCCCCTCCCTCTCCAACCCCGCTGACTTCTTCCTCCGCCTCGCCAACACCGACTTCGAAGGCCATGCCGACGTCAGCGCGCTCGCCTCCGCCTTCACCAGCCAGCCCGAGGGCATGTCGCTCATCGCCGCCATCGGCCAGCCGATCGAGCACGAGGTGCTGGTGGCAGGCACGGCCAACGGCTTCTGGTCGCAGCTGCTCACCTTGTCTCATCGCGCCTTCTTCAACAACGCTCGCAACCCCGGCATCTTCCTCGTCCGCCTCATCATGTACGTCATGCTGTGCGCGATGATCGGGTTCATGTTCTGGAAGCTGGGCATCGAGGCCTCGGACATCAACAGCCGCATCACCATGCTCTTCTACGTGGCTGCGTTCCTGGTCTTCATGTCGGTTGCCGTGCTGCCCTTCTTCATCCTGGAGCGAGCGGTGTTTCTGCGAGAGCGAGCCAACGGCTGGTACATGGTCCCCTCCTACGTGCTGGCGACGTTCCTCATGTCGCTGCCGGGGCTCTTCATCATCTCGCTCATCAGCACGGCCCTGGTCGTGCTCCCGTCGGGCCTCAACGGCTTCGGCATCTTCCTGGCCGACCTCTTCCTCTCCCTCGTCGCCGCCGAGGCCTTCATGTGCGTGGTGGCGTCGGTGGTGCCGCACTACATCATCGGCATCGCGCTGGGGGCGGCGGTGTACGGCTTCTTCATGCTGTGCGAGGGCTTCATGAAGATCAAGTCCGACATCCCGGACTACTTCATCTGGGGCTACTACATCGCGTTCCACACCTACTCGTTCCGGGTGTTCATGGTGAACGAGTTCGAGCCCATCAAGCATTTCAACAGCCTGCAGTACAGTGACGGGAAGGCGGTCTTGGACTTCTACGACATGAGCGACAAGCCGGTGTACAAGGACCTGAGCATCCTCGCGGGGTACGCGCTGGGGCTGCAGCTGATCTTCGGGATGATCCTGCAGGTGTTTCACAAGGGGAAGCGGTAAGCCATGAAGCCTTCGGGAGGGACCTGTCAGCTGTCGAGGAAAGAGAGCGTCCGCTGAGGATGGAAACCGGGGGGGCCGGGGGGGGGGGGGGGGGGGAAGAGATGTGTAGAGTTGTGTTTGTGTTTATGACATCTCCATCTTTGTTTGCTGTTGTGTTGCGATGGTTTTGTGCAATAAACTGTAAAAGATCAGAACATAGCCGATGCCTCCAAGTCTCTTGTGCCCTCCAAGTCTCTTGTGCTCTTGTCGCAGGAGGCTCACTCTTCTGTTATCACATCGACTTTGCAACTCACTTCTGCAGACAACGCTCTTGCTGTCTGCGAGCCATGATTTCAGTGATGCGAGCATGGGGAGCCATAGGTCACGTAGGGAAGTCCATGAAATGTCTTCGATTCCAAGGCAGATTCACTTAGTCTTTGTAGATGAAAGGTTTGGTACACGCGTTCACATACATGGTAACAAACTTCCTCTGAGAGATCCATCCAAGACTTCAGATCCTGAATCTTTCAAGAGTGAAAAGACAAAGGCGAAGACATCGCAAGTATCTCTCTTGACCCTAAATTGGAGGAGCAACAACGGCATCAGGGATAAATATGGAAAAGATGCAAGAGCAAATGAGTTCGAATCCGAAGCAGGTTCTTGCATATCTGAATGGAATGAGACAGATACAGCCCATCATGAAGATGAGGAAGTCGACCCCTATTACAATATCAACAGGTCTCAGGCTTACAACTACGAATTGAGGCAAACACTCTTGCATGTCCTGTTGTTACAACAGCATGGGTAACCGTGGCGATTACAGAATCAGATGGAAAGCAGTTTGCAGCAGCAAGTACAACAGAAACAGGAGTGAAGCCAGAAGAAGAATGGCTTCATTGCCGGACTCCGGGTTACAAGAGCAAACACGGCACCAAGCTCCTTTGATTGAAGTTGTGGCAAGTTCACAAGAGGTAGAGGAGAACAAACTGCAGCTAAATCCAATTCAAGACGAGGTGAAGCGGAGTGGAGATGGTTTTGTTGTTGATATGCAGACAGATTCCAGGAGCCATCTGTTTGGATCAGATCCTTGGAGAGTTTGCAGCCCTAGAGAGATGAATATCATCAGGCAGGCAAAACAATGAGCGACTGGACTTTGTGTTGTGTTGTGGATCCCGTCTCAAAAAGCATCTTCCGCAATAGAGAGGATTTGGCACAAGAAAGTCAAGAGATCAGATGTTGATGTATAAAGTTTCTGCTGAACTCTGTCTTGACGGAGGGGTACCACAGTGATGGAGATCTCTCCTGCCGGCCAGTGCCCTGAGCCCTGGCTGAGACCTCGACGGCTCTCTCTCCACAGAAGGTGCGTAGGAGTATCTAATCATGGATTCTTCTTCTGCTAGCCATGGCTGCTCCCGACCCAGCATCAGTTCGACTACCAGCATGGACAGGACCTTCCCTTGCCTCGTCGACGTCTACCGAGTGATCAGTATCGTTGGCATCGAGCTGGATATGCCCGTTGCCAGCGCGCGTCCTCGGAGAGAGCTGGAGGCAGGACAGCAGGTTACCTTTGCCTTGCTTTGGACCGGAGAAGGGATGGATCTTTGAAGGCAGGAGCGCAGGGCAGTCGAGGCTTCAGAAGAAGACGAAGACGATGACGATGACGATGACGATGAGGACGAGGACGAGGACGAGGACGAGGACGAGACAGGGGCAGAGGCAGAGGAGCAAGAAGCTCTGCTCAGTTGCAGTCTGATAATGAATGGGATCGACGCTCTATCCACGTCCTCCCTCAATTGCTGACTTCCCGGATGAATGGAACAATCACGGTATTGCTCGAGACAGGAGATTACTTGTCGCAAGTTGAAGTGACCTCCTCCTCCCTCTCCCCCCTACCCCTCCCCCTCTTCCTCTCCCCCTTCCTCCTCCTCTTCCTCCTCCTCTTCCTCCTCCTCTTCCTCCTCCTCTTCCTCTTCCTTCGCCTCCTCCTCCTCCTGCTCCTCCGATGCATCACAACTTCAGTGACATGAGTCGGATGTGCAGACGTGAGCACACTCGATCAGATACTTCTACCGCGATGGACCGTGGGTCGCCAGCCTGAACTGTACGGTCTTCCTACGAGGAGAAAGTATTCACAGGTGATCATCTTTTCACAACAAGAGTCCGTGTACACAGATCTTCAGACCAGATTCCTATGTTAACTTCTCTACCGACTAATAACATACACAGAAACGACGGTGGAATCGTTCCACACGTCGATGGCAGTGATGTTCTGAAACTACCCTTGATACAAGTGAGCCAATTTTCGAATGCCGAACATCCATGCATGTTCTTCTAACAATTCTGTCAAGGGCCTTTTCACAAATTCCTTATACCTCAATTTCAAAATTCCAAAGTGTTCTTCATGGTTACTTTCTGACTCAAGACGATCTACGAAAAGTTGTCTAACAGCGTCCAGTCTTTGATGGAGCTATCAGTGTTGGACCGACTCAATCAGTTCTCTGCTTTCCTCACCTGATTCTAATCCTCCTCATCGTCCTCGTTCCACAAGGCTTTTCTTTTTGCGTCCTCCCCGTCCTCACCCGCCCCTTCCTTTTCCTGTGTCTCTACCATAGTCTCTCCCACATGTCATGTCGTGGTCTTCCACCGTCATCGCAGCCTGTGCCTGCAGCTCGGCCAAGATTGTCGTTTTGCATTACAATCTGTTAGTTACATACTGCAAAGTAGATCCTCCATACGTCCTTCAGACATCCATGGATCAGCTCTTCTGGCCTTGTTTGTTGTATCACCAACTTTCGGCAGCTGAACTCGAGCAACCGCAAAACTCCACCCTCTATTCAGTTAACTAGCACGATCATCGTCAACCTCGAAACTCATCTCCTTCAGAAGTAGATCCCTCCGTCGTTCCCTTGGTGCATTCAAACAGAAGACGGACTCTCCCAGTGACGATGAACCTACAGGTACATCATTGCTTTCAGCATTTTGCGTCGTACTCACTACTACTACTGACTCTCCTGATTGTCCTAGTACTACCATGCTACCGCCGGCCTACTCAGACGGTCACTGAGTGACTCAGGCTGCAATGCCGAACTTAACTTCTCCGACAGTGCCCGGCAGGTCTGGCCGAGACTCAGTCAGACCCGGTGACCGTCACAGTACTCGGACGACTCGGGGTCACGGCGCCGGGAGTCACCGCTGGCGGGCCCCGGCTAGCGGCTAGTACCGTCGGCCCGGCACCCGGTGGCACAATACTATTAGTGACCATACTGAATACCTTTACTCAAAGTTAAGTTAAAGAACACCAGTGACTTCACTGTGCGAGCCACCCTCAGGATGTGAGGCTAGAAAAACTTGCAGGCAGCTGGGAGGTCGTGATTGGACTTTTAAGCGATCGTCTACAACACCAAATGAGTTTTAAAACCGTGGGTCAAAGGACGGGGGGTGAATTGGAGGGGTAGGGTTTCTGAATGCAGGGTAGTCCCTTGGCCATTCCTACCTGATAAATAGGACAAATATAGGGTAGTACCATTAATGTATTCAATTGGGTAGGGTGGTATCCTAAAAGCTCATTTTTTAAGTTCAATTTTTGAAGTCACCAATCCAATAGTAGGGTAAATCCTCTTTAGTACACATTTAAATACAAATTTTATCTCATATATATTTATGAGGTGCAACTCGTAGTAGGTGTCTTTTTATAACTTTATACTTCACAGGACTGCTGGTAATCTTTAAAACTTTATTTTATAGTATTATTAAATCATTGAATCCGTACCCAACCGTAATTCATACGCTACGGGAGACTTATAAATTATTTTAGAGTTATACTTTACATTGTTGTAGAAACTCTTCTTTGGTCCAGCATGGCTAGGTGGGTCAGCGGCGAACAGCATGGCCATGTATGTTGAAAACTTTGTCGCTTCCCGCTCTTTCCCGCTCTTTCCCGCTCCTCATCCTCACCTCATCCTGTGAGCAGTCTCCTCTTCATGATTGATGCTTGCGAGTGGCCTCCACGAGTTATCCTCTGCTCTCCTTACTACTACTTTCTGCTATCCATCACTCAGCACTCGATTCCTCCTTCTCGTTCTCCAGCTATCTTAGTGTATTCCACCTATGTTTTTCAACTTTCCTGCAAGATGCCCTCACACTGAAACTTTTCTGTCTCCAAATACGCCTCGCATGCATGTAGAACACAACTTTCACAACAGGAACTTTCACAACTCTCTGTGTAAAGAGATGGATTATGCTGACATCTCCTCCTCTGATTCAATTCACTTCATTAGAGGCACTTCTGCCATCACCTACCGAGTGCCTGATTCATGCTGAGATTCAATCCTGCTTTCCCTCCCTCCCTTGCGCTGTCGCCGGTTGGGATGTTGGAGCTGATGTTTTCATGGCAGCCTTGCGATTCCTGAAGAGTCTTCTTGCTGAAGAAAGTCGCTCCAACCATGGGGCGCGGTGGGGGCGGTTGCTACACGGGGAAAGATGAGAAGACGGGGAAACTGACAGCAAGGAGAAGGGAATTCGATCCTATCCCAGAGCCACCCTACAGGATGTCGACGGTTACGGAATGCCGGAAGGATTTTGAGGTGAATGGGATCTCTTGCTGTTGTCCAGAGATGTTCTGAAGCGTTATCAGAACTCTGTGTTGCTTCGGCCTTTCCACAGAGAAGCATGGTTCACTTACGTGCCTGGTTAGTACTGTCACCCTTGGTTCCTGCCCGCTGAACTTTTGTTACAGAGATGCTCCTCCTCTGTAACGAGGCTGCGAAGAGAAATGTCAGGAAGAGCATATCGGTGCCAAAGGAGAATGCAGACGGGCTTCTTTCGAAACCACTAGGGCTGGAGTACATAGCAGACCGTGTTGATACGGACGATCCTATCCAAGGGTATCTTGTAAGGACGAGGGATGAGGGCTGGCTGCAAGGGTTCATCACTGTGACGACATTCACAACGTGGCATCGTGAGTTCGAATGGAACTCACTCGTGCAAGAGGCGGGGATAAGCGACGAAGACAAGCAGAACCATCGTTGGGATTTCGATGGATCGCTAGCCAAGGAGTTGCAGAAGCAGAAGCGAGTGGGAGATCCGCATAGGGAAGGGATCGTATGGAAGAGGTACGATGCTTCTTGTCTTGCATGCAATCCTGACGCCAAGTGGTCAGGTTGGCTGAGGTCTCGTTGCTTGGCGCCTTGGGCTGCGGATCGCAGCTGTTGCAACTTGTGATGGAAGACCTGGAGCAAGGGGATGAGTACGACTACATCATTCTACAAGCCACAGACAACGCCATCAGTTTCTATGAGAGGATGGGCTTTGTGAGAGTCGGGGCTATCGCGCGACCAGATCAAAATTTTCTGAATCGCAAAGGGAAAGTTTCCACAGGGGAGAAGCCGGGAGTTGGCAACAAGAACAAGGAGGAGGCTGTCACGATCAAGAGAGAGAAGATGAAATTTCGGCGAGAGAAAGTCACTGCCTCTTATGACTGGCGTCCTTTTTGTGTCAAAGTTCTCAAGCATCTTCTCACACTTCCCGAGGCGAAGGTAATCAAGGACTCAAGGCCGAGTGCCTTCAAGTTTGAGCAACAGCGATGCCTAGACTTGCAGTCGCTGGTCGACGCGCTGAGAGACAAGGAGTCTGAGGAGCAGAAGAAGATGATGCAAGAGCACCACGAGTTTGATCCGACCTCCTGGATGAAAACCGCATGGATCTCGAACTTCACTAATGCTGAAGATGTCTCGTTTGAAGTGCAGCTGCTGCTGAACTCCTTTAAGAAGGACCCAAATCTCAACGAAACAGTGAAGTCCGCTGCTCAAAGTCTTCTTGACTCGTTTTGCAAAGCTTGGAATAGCTTTGGAGATGATCTCGTCACCGATGGAAGCCAGGGCGAGAAGTACACTCCCAAGAAGGCCGGAACAAATCACACGCCCACCAAGAGCGCAAGGTTGAGGGAGAGTGCAACGAAAGAGGAAGAAGCTTCGAAGATGGGTAAAGACAACCAATTCTATGTGTACGTCGACATCGAGTGGAGGGAACAGCGAGGGTTTCGACTTTATGAGATCGTTGGCAAGCTCAACGGATCAGGTTCGGGCAAGTTCACCCTTGACCTTTCTCAACTTCTCCACCCTCTCCTCTACATCGGACTCTAGTAACATTTTCTTCACAGCAAATAAGCAGTCGGGAAGCAAGGGATTGCTCAACGTGAGGGAATGGTATTCGGCCAAGGAGCTGGAGCCAGCGGAAGGAGCAGATCGAGACAACCTCCCCTTCCTCCCCAGGTCGGCGAAGGCCAAGAAGATGCAGTGGTCTCAGCGTCGCTGTGTAGATGGGATCTTGCAGACAGCTTCGCTACCTGTGGCTGTCAGAAGCTGCCACAAGCAGCTCGACGGGAAGAGAGTGGACTATATCGAAGTGGAAGATCAGTGCCTGAGAGTCACCATGGCGTACGCGAAGCTGATGGCCATCCGCGGGATCGAGAGGTTCGAGCGCTACGGCGACGGAGGATATGGTGATGACTGCTGCTGTGTGAGATTGACCCGGGTTGACCGCTTGCTCCCTTGCAGACTCGCGATGGGATGGGGAAGGATCGGGGTCGCCGGATGACACGAAGCTGAGCGAGTACGAGTTCAAACGTCTCCAGAGGATGCAGGAGAACGAGCGACTGATGAAGGCGACGGGGATACTTGACCATGAGCAGAGCGTCACTCAGGGGTCGAGCTCTGAGAACGAGGATGCAGCTGATGCTCATGACGACACTTGCTCCAATCGCAAGCAGGATGCGATGCTGGGAGATTTGAACGACGTGCGGCCAAGGAGTCAGTCACAGTCGATGAACGGGGAGGAGTCCGTGGACTCGGATGGAACGACAGACAGCGCGCAGAAGCCCCACAGGCCCCAGAAGAAGCGGTTCTTGCCCTTGGATTCTCATGGGAGCCCAAAAGTTTTTCGCTCACTGGACATGGACAGCGTTAGTAGCCAGAGCAAGAAGAAGTTTGTTGCAGAGGAGGAGACGAGTATCAAAAAGATTGCGGAAGAATGCCACGTCAAGCTTGATCGACTGCTGCAGATCAACAGGGTGAGGAGGAATGGGAGGAGGAGGAATGGAGGAGGGGGAGGAGGAGGAGGAGGAGAGGTAGCTCACTGTATGACAGGGCAACTTTCCCGATCTTCATCAGTACTCGATCATTCCCGCTGGGACAGTTTTGCAACTTCCTCGACCTGGGGAGGTCTGTGAATTCATTCCGAAGAAGAAACTCCCCCGGGCTCCGACGGGATGGTCAGGTTACTGTCACTGGACGTACCCCGACCAGTCCATCGACGAGCTTTTTCCAAGCTACATGATGGTAGGGAATCGTTTGTGTGTGCCTAGAACGACGTTAGGGTACTGGGTTGATGTGGTTAGTGTGGAGTACCGGGTACTCGTAAGTTGTTGATGGGGTACTGGGTCAGTGGGGTGTGACCATGACTCTGCTTTCATGTTGTCTCTGATGTGATTCGCCGTTGTAAGTCTTTTTCTCACCTTGTCCGATCAGGCCAAGAAGATCATCAGAGAGAAAGACGGCGTCGTGAAGCAAGCTCCTTCGACGCTGAGAAAGATGTTGGTTGACTGTCCTCCTCCGATCGTCTCCACCAAGGAAATCCAGCAGGTCCGGAAGATCTCAAAGCTCAACAGTGAGTTCTGGCAGGAGCAGCACTCCTCCATGCAGGATGGGGAGGAGCAGGAAGCTGCAGCCTGCTCGTGGCCAGTGAACGGAATTTACTGCTGCCTCCAGAACGAGAGAGCGGAGGATGTGGCCAAGAAGTTTCGGGTGGATGCGGATCGCTTGATCTTCGTGAACAAGCTCTTGAACCCTCAGCTTGAGCAGAGGAGGGCGTTCAAGGCCGGAAGCAGCGTTGTGCTCCCCCTCCACCCGTCCTTGGTGGAGCAGCAAAATTGGATCAAGGACTGTGTGGAAATTCTCGACCTCCTGCGCCAGTCCCAGTGAGTCATCCAAAACTCAGCCCTCCTGCTGCTCCTGCTCCTGCTCCTGCTCCTGCTCCTGCTCCGGCTCCGGTCCCGGTTCCGGCTCCGGCTCCGGCTCCGGCTCCTGCTCCGGCTCCGGCTCCGGCTCCTGTTCTGCTCCGGCTCCGGCTCTTAGTTCACCATTCGCCATAGCCTCGCCCCCTTCTGCTTGCCGACCATCAACCCCCCCCCCCCCCTCCTCCTCCGCCGCTCTCCAATGTGCACATCTCCTCTGTCTGCTTTCCCGCTCAACCCGCAGCTGTTCGTCGCTCCTCCTCACTGGACCTCAGGCATGCGCTGCACTTCGAGGCACCCGTAGAGTGGAGGAGAATGAAGCTGTTCGAGTACCCCTTCATCGTCACTCAGCCCACAGACCTCGGGACTGTGCAGATGCGCCTCCTGGCCGGTCATTACGCAACTCCGGAGGATTTTGCGGAGGCGACGATGAAGATTTTCTTCAATGCGATCGTGTTCAACAACACCCCCAACGATACCTTCCGCAAGATGGCGAACAAGCTGATGAGCAACTTCGAGCACCGCTGGTCGAAGATCTATCCTCCCCTCTCTCCTGCCATCCTGGGCGATCGATCCAAGAAGGTTAAGTTCTTCAACAAGGTGACAACTCGATTCCCGTCTCTCATCCCTCCCTTGTTGTAGCCCGCTTTCTGATAGTGGCTCCTGCCTCTGATATACTCTCCTGCTCCTGCTCCTGCTCCTGCTGCTCCTGCTGCTCCTGCTGCTCCTGCTGCTCCTGCTCCTGCTCCTGCTCCTGCTCCTGCTCCTGCTCCTGCTCCTCCTCCCTGCTCGTCATGTTCCTGACATCCCATCGAAGGTCGTGAAGCTAGAGGATGAGTCGGCGCTTTTCTACTTCGTGCTCCACTACGTCCCCGACCTTCACTGGTGTCACCTTGCTCCGATGCAGCGCGATGGGCTCGTCCCATACCAGAACAAGCAGGGGAAGCCCAACGCGTACGCGGGTCACACCAAGTGGAAGCTCGTGCCTGAAGGAGAGGCCGAGGAGATCGATGTCAGCGGCTTCCGCTGCATCCCCGTCAGGTGGGTGAAGGGGCATGATAGCAGGAGGCTGGCAGCTTGGCGAGGGAGGTGCTGACAGGGGCTAGGGAGTAGTAGAAAATGAATTGGGAAAGGATGAGGGGAAGATAAAGGGAGGGGGAGGAGGAGGAATGTAAAGCGAGGGAGGTTGGGCGAGGTAGAGGAAGGGAGGCAGGTGTAGACAGGGGACCGAGGAAGGGAAGGGGATACAGCAGGAGTCTCTGACAACGTATTGGCAGGAGCGTGACGGTGAACAAGACAAAGAACGCTGACCTGGAGGCCTGGGTGATCCTCGGGGAAGGAGGAGGAGAGGGACAGGAGATGGACGTGCAGAGCAACACGCAGGAGTCAGCGGACTGCGAGAGCGAGGAGGGCAGGCGTTGCAGGAAGATCGAGAGAGTCCCGGCGAGACTGCAAGAGGAAGGGGGGCGAGCGGAGTGTGCAAGAGCGCTGAGAAGGATGCTGGCAGATGCAGCTTACAAGTTGAAGACACAAAGGGGAAGGAGGTCGGTGGAGCAAGAGGGTCTGCGCTTGCGCCTCAAGGGCTTGGCGGAGCAGGAGGACGAATTCGAGGACGCGAGCAGTTTCGTGCAGGCAGTTCTCGATGCGATGACGACAACAGTAGCAGGACTGAGGAGAAACAAGGAGAAAGAGAAGAGGAAAGCCATGCTGACGTATCAAGCTTTCCATAGCGCCTGTGAACGGCTCTCTTGCTTCGACGAGATCTCGTGCCTGTTTGATCCCAAGCTGGTAAAGGACGGGCACGGGGACGAGGAGGACCAGGAGGAGGTGGTGGATGCTGATGAAGACGAGAGCGATGACGGCAGCTTCGGTGAGGACAGTGGAGGAGACGAGAGCGAGGATGGAGCTCGGGAGGGGGGAGGCGAGGGGGACGAGGACATGGAAGATGGCGCAAGGGCTGGGTCATCGGAGGGAGAGGAAGGCGAGAAAGGGAATCCAGATGGAGTGGGAGAAGAGCGGGAGAGAAGGAAATCCAGTGCTGAGGATTCGGAGCATGGCAAGGGGAAAAGGCAGCGGGGCTACAACGAGGACAAGGACGAGGACGATCGAGTCCTGGGTGACATCGAAGAGGAGGCAGAGAATGACATTGAGGAGGGGGGGTGCGGAGACGAGGAGGAGGAGGAGGAGGAGGAGGAGGAGGGTGGGGGCAAGGGAAACTCAAAGGCAGCAGGGAAGACGAAGGTGAAGGTGAAGGTGGAGGAGGGCGCACCCGAGGACAGTGAGGACAGGGAGGAGGAGGGCGAGGTGGAGTACACCACCAGGGAGAATGAAACTCCAAGGATCATCGCTGCAATGCTGAGGGTCAACTTAGACCGCGTCCTGGAGCTGAATCGCAGCAAATACCCCCAGCTGGTCCCTTGCTCGCGTTTCCGCCGAGGGACGAAACTGTTGCTCCCCATGTCAGCGACGGAATCGCCCAAGGGGAAGGAGCTGCTTGCGAGGAAGCGGCTGGTGAAGATCTCGAAGCGCGGCAGGAAGCACAGGGGAGATGGAGAGAGGAGGAGAGGGGGCAGGAGGGAGGAGTCAGGTGGGAAGTTGAAGGTCTGAGCTAGAGGAGGCGCGTTAAGCAAGTGAATATACTGAATTGAATGATGAAAGAAGAATAGTCGACGCCTTCTATGCTCCTGCTCCTCGTTCGCCCTGTTCGT